CAGTATTTCAGGAATTAAAGAAAAAACCTCTTGCCATGAGGAGAAGATGCAGCAATTCCTGGACCTTCCTGGAGTATTTATCTTACCCAAGAAAGGCAGCAGAATGATTCTGGTTTTATCCATTCCTCAAAGTACTGCTCTTGGCTGGCTATCGGGTGCAATTTATGTTCTACTTTTTTCTCAGCTATCTATAAAAACCATTTTCATGCAATGAAAGATACATAGCCCTTCAATAAGGGCTATCAATCCCTCAAAGTATGAAACCTTCTACTCCACCTTCATCATAACTGCATGATGAAAATCATCATGCAGTTATGATGAAAACAGGAGAAAGATTACCTCAAAAGTAAGAAAACCCTTCCTTCAAAATTTCTAAAGATTTATCATTACAAATGACCGAGAACTTAAATACCAGCCACGCTTCACCACTGAAACAATACAGCTCAGCTGAGGAACATGGAGCAGGTGTAACTTCTTAACAAAACTCTCCCACATGTAGCAACAAGAACATTGCCATACATGAAAATATGCGAGGGCTCAGAGAACAGGAACAGACGTGCACTGGCTGACTCGAGCACAGGCCTCTTGCCTGCAGCAGGATGCATGGTCAGGTCCATTCATCCCAGCAGCTCCAGTCTCAGCCAATAGGAGAGCTCTTTGACCAGCATGAGTTAGAGACATGTCAAGCATCTAAGATCAGAAATGAAAGTCAGCTTGCTTGTGCTCCCCAGGGCTATCCCAAGATGGATTACTACAATCCTTTTCCAAAAAAATTATGACTGGTTGAGAAACTTGCTCTGTTGGACTATTAGCCACCATAAAACAGGTGATTGAGATAAAAACCCTGCTACTTTTTGCCAACTAAATCCCATCAACATGTAACTGTTACCAAAGATGAGGCTGTACTGCAGTTTGCAAGCATTGCTCCACAGGATACTAACCCAGTAACACCAGTGCTGCTGATGCTGCTGCTGCTGCTGCTGTTGCTTCAGTTGTGGTCTGTGCCAATACAGATACAGAAATTTTAGGCTGCAGCATGTAGATATGAGATAGGTCACAAATATCCCTACAAAATATGTATTTATGTAACAGATACCAAATACTTTTTTCAGATTGAGTATTCTAGCAATTGTTCTTAGCAAGGTTAACCATATACATTTCTACCACATTCCTTTGTGCACACCTCACTTGCAAGACCTTTCTGCACCTGTGAGCATTATGCCTTCAATATGATTACCAGTTTGAGCAGTGGATATTTTGCTTCAAAAAACACACATACTGCCCCTGAAAAAGCATGTCCCACAGCACATATATAGGGGTGTGAGAAATGCTGCCTCTGCAAAAATATGTGCCCAGTAGTCATGCCTACTTTAAGACTACATCAGACAAGTGACACAGTAGCCATGGTATGATTTTACATGAACATGTAAGATTACTGTTTGTGACATTACTGAAAGGAAAGCCATAATTAGAACATGGCAAGAAAGAGATCTGAGCAAACATCTACATAGAATCTCTCTGGTAATTAAAGGAGTCATACTGCTCTCTGCTTCAAAACCAATAAAGAAATTATCTGAAGAAAGCTAATAACAAGGGCTGTAGTGTACTTGACTTATTTCACATCACATTTTAAATTAGATATTGATTTAATAATAAAAAAATATCGATGACGATTTGGAATTTTTTCTTGTTTTTAAGAAAATTGATGATGTGATGAAAGGTGTAACAACTCAGACAACAAGACAGAAGGAAGAACAGTGACTTTTACCAGGTGGCAGAAAGATACATTATCTTTTTGAAGATTCCTACCTTGCATCCTTCAAAAGGATTGTTACTGGATTTTACTCTCCAAGTTTTCCTTTCTTGCAATGCATTCATGGGTTAATCTTTTTAATGAATGCCATTATTATAAATAAGGTAATTTTCATTTTTAATACTAATTTTCCTAAACTTGTCCCCTTCATTAAACTGATAGAATCAACCTTCTCCTATTTGCATTTGGGAAGTCTAGATCTGGACAGCTGAGACCTTAGGGAATTAAAGCTATACAGCAGACTGATGGGATGGCAAATAATGAATTAAAGCTCTGAGTACTGCTGCTGGACTTTCATTTTTTTTCAGGTATAAACATATTTGCAAAACACTAATTGTAATCTCAGAGACTATTACATTTACATTACAAATGCAGACAACTCCTGTCCAGTTAGTTTATTGGGTATTCCTCACTAAAGTGTGAAGCACACTATTTTGTAGGTGTTCAAAAATGCTTCACATACTTTACATTCCTCATATAAAAGTAAAAAATACTGCTGGCTGAATACACTACTACATTTGTTGTTACGCCATTTCTATTACTAGTTTCCAAACAGTGCTGCAAAATTTAGTTAATTATTTTGCACATTTTGCAAGTTTACCTGTTTTAACCTTAATTTTATTTTGACATGTTATTAATGAGAAATTATTACTCTGACAAAAACTACCTTACAATGGGACACAGGCCAGAGATGCTCTCATTAAAATATAACTGATTCAATGTTTGTATTATGATTTAACCTTGGAACATTTTGTATTAAAGAAAGCCTGGATTGTCAAACTTTGCTGAAAAACAATGTTTTTCCATCACATTTTGAAGCTGCTGGTCAGAGATAGCATTGCATTTGAAAACCCACATCTTTTCATGGCAGAGCCATATCTTATGAAGATACTCAGGAGCTATAGGGAAAGAGATAAGAAAGCACTTCTGAAGGAGAAGACAAAGTATGAGAGACAAGATGTTGGGTACCAAACTGAACATTAACTGCTGAAACTCGGATGCTGGTTAAGCTTTCCAGAGCTGCTGGTAACAAAATTGAAATTTACATGTACATCAGTCCCCATCCACTGAGTGAAGCATCCAGTCTGGAGGTGCTAACATGTTCACGAGACTCTGACAAGCCCAGAGGAGAAATGTAGCACTCTGCTGTCAGAGGTGAGTTCATACCAAAAAAACTAAGCCAAGTGATTTAACACATATGCACCATCACGCTCTAAAATTACTCAGCATTTTTTCTTTAATATTTTAAGTGCAATATTTGATTTGCATTATCTTATTTCTTGTAAACAGTAGCTTGTATAAGAATGAAAAAAAATACTAAACCAGCTCATAACAGGTGTATGATCTTTACAGCAGTGATATTGTAAGGACAGCAGGAATTTTCTTTTTAAAAGAAAATCCTACAGCTATGCAATGTGGATATGTCTGCACATTGTTCCAGTGATTTCAAATGCAGTTTTCAATGTATGAGCAAGGGAGGTGCTGTGGAGTTCCAGCACGTGAGCAGAATCCACCTGCCATAATCCTGATCTGGGCAGCAAAGATCTTGTACAGATGCAGGATGAGTTCCTGTCTCCCGCTGCAAGCGCCTGGACTCGCTGCACTTGGCAGCAGCTCTTGTGGAACTAAGTATAGTCAAACAATACCAAATGTAAAGTGCATCATGAAAAACACACAGGAAGCATGAGGGCAAAGCATGATTAAGAATTTAGGATGATTTCCTTTCTTTGCCTTTTATGCAGGGAATACTTAATGACGCTTTAGACCCTGGATGTGTATTTGCACAAAATAAAATGTTTGCTTAATGCAAAGATTTACAAACAGTAGTCATCTGATGGGACTTTTGTTACAATTATTCTTATTATTTTGGTTTAAATACTAGAATACCTATACAGGAGAACACAATATCTGTTTAATACCTATTACTAGATGTAAATAGAAATTAAAATTCAAAATCTGTTTTGTCGGATTTTTTTTCCATTTTGCCATAAAGTACTTTTTATATTTCAGCTGAAATAAGCATAATTTTTTTTAATATTGCATTTGTGTTGGCCTTTGAGACTATTTTGGTATATGTTTTGTAAATAACAGATTTTTTATCAGATTTATTCATTGACTGGATGTTTTTTTAAACTCTAAATCCCTGCAATTATCTTTGTGAGAATAAAAGGATATTCTGTCACAAAATAATTAAAAACACTGAGGACTTTTTTTCAACTAGTAAGAATATTAATTGGGTTCACCATCAAAATGTGATAACATGTAAAATATCTTGTTTTGCATGTTAATGCTCCATAATTGCACAGAGCTTTTCAACTTCAAAGCTCTTTACATGAATTAAGTGGATGTCCCTGGAGGCCTTAAGCAACATTTTCTTTGCCTTCAAAAAGAAGATTTGCACCAGACAAAAGCTTTGTGAAAAACACAGGACTGGGCTTTGTTTTTCCAGCCTACTGCCATTGCACAGTGAGATAAAATATCACTACCATTTTGCAGATGGAGGAAAAAAGGGAAGGTAATGGGACCATCCCTGCTCATCTCAGACTTGGTACTTTACATCAGGAGCGATGCACTGGGACAGTGAGAAACAAAATGCAACTCAGTTTTCAGAGCCACGCGAACACACATTTCAACTATTTTTTTCAATTATAGTTCCCCACCAAAGACCAAGCTGCTGAGAGTCCAGTGATTACCCCCTACTGCAACCACCCCACATACACTGAGTTTGCTCAAGCACGCATGAAGAGAAAAAAAGCATTTGCTAGAATTCAGACAAAGGCTGTTACCTGGTACTCCACTTGGCTTCATCAAAAGACATTTGGAAAGTCCCAAAACTCAGGAGAGAAATGGTTATTCCGTTATATCAGACTGAAACCTATCACATATCACTATGCAGTTTTTCACACTAAATTTTCTTTTCATTGTCTTTTAAACCATGCTACAAATAAGAAACTGCTACAGATGTTTACAACATCAGTGCTAAAGAATGAATATTTTTCCAGCACCCTTTGCCAAAAGGGTAAGACCCACAAGTATTCCTCTTTGTACTTACCGTGTGATTTTTATGCCACTTCACTGGACACAGGGTGTAATACATTGGGTCTTTTTATTGCTCAAGTAGAAAGTGCTCATTACCTATTTATGTTTATATATAGGAAAAAACAAAGAGTTATTACAAGGGGCATACTTCACACTGTTGTAGTGGTTGATTTCCTCAAGATGGTCTTCTGGGGTTTTGGCGCGGTTGGTGGAGGCACAGTTGCAGTTCTTGGAGGAGGAAAGCTATTACTGGGACTTATCCCCAACCCTCCATTTTCCAGAAGAAATGGAGGCAGTGGAGGTGGAGGAGGTGGCAGAGGAGGGCACTGGTGTGGCAGCTTTCCTGCAGCCCGGGCCGGCTCGCTGTGCAAATGCACCTCCCTGTTTTTGATGTTGTAGCGAACGTCACAGTCGGGGCAGTATCCGTGGTACTGGACCTTCTCGCTGAACCGCACGCGCTCCCTGGCTCCCGCCTGGGCACACCGCTCCTTCTCCGCCCTGTGCGCCAGCGGTGGCATCACCGCCTTCTCCAGGCCACTGTTCGGCACACAGCACACATCTCCGTTCGGGACGCGGCCCGGGCCCGCGGGCAGGCCCCCGTTCCGCAGCAGGGTGCCATTGGTCTTGAGTGGGTTGGCCAAGGGAGGCAGCCTGGGGGGCTCATCGCACCTGACAGGCGTCAGCCGAGGGGGAGGAGGCGGCGGGTTGGGCTTCCGCAGCACGGTGAGGATGGCAGAGGGGTGCGCGGGCGGCTTGATGAGGGGCGCGCTGCCCCGCACCTTCACCTTCTCCAGGCTGGAGGCTGTTGTGCTGCTGGAGCTGCTGTTCAGGGTGTCTGTTTTGGAACTGTCTGTCATCTCATCCTCCAGCTGCAGATCACATGTCAGTGTGTCAATCTGGTCAACCACCTGCACAACAGCCAGAGTGAGAACAGTGAGAAAAGCATGCCTCAGAGAAGGCACAGAAAAACTAAACCATTCTCCGCTATCAGCTTGTCTTCCCCAGAACCGAAGCATCCAATTTTTTTGACCACTATTTCTTTTTTCTTGTCAATGTAATAAAATCATCATAATAAAAATGACGACAACAATAATGATAAGCATGGCTAGTTTGCTAGCTCATCACCTGAATACAAGAGAAATATAACTTGAAACAGTCTAGAATGAAATTCCCTTTCTTCCCCTCCAGGGTTTACTTGGTAATATCATAGTGAGTGAAGTGTAATTCTTCAGCATTATGCTTTGCCTTCCGGTGCAGGAGGAGACAAAATTGTTCAACTTTAGCTTCTACATGACAGCTTCTGAACCCAAAAATTCTGCAGAGCATCTTTTAGCTCTGACCTTTCAAACACTCTAGATTTAAATATGCATTCTCTGCATAGGTGATATTATACATGTAGAATCATATGTTTGATACACAATTTTCTGACATTTTTTAACATAAAAGAGACTCTGAGAAACAAAAATCTCTTTTGTGTTATCTCCCTTTATGAGCACTTTCCATAAGATCTGAAATCCTCCAAAAAAATCCTGAAATAGCATTTGCTGAAAGAGAAAATGTTCCTTGGTTTCCACTCACAAGTATTTAAGAACTCATGCACTTTATTTGAAGTTTTCCTCTACCTCCCAGAATTCTGGTTTTAGATTCTACATTGCTAGATCTTTTCTAGTCCTCAAGAATCCCTTCTCTACTGATTTTTTAATATGGCATGAAAACAACGGTGCGTTTGCTTGGTAGAGAAGTTTTTCATATGACAATTAAAAGCCCTTCCTGCAAACTGCATTTAACTCAGTACCCAGTTGAACAACTGTAGTTATGAGCTACACATAACTACAACAGATGCCGCAGGAAGTAGCACTGGGACACATTTAAAAACTGATCTCTGTCCTTCACAGCCTCCCAGGGTGTACCTAAAGTAATTAGTAGCTAATGTTGCTAACTAACTTTGGTGCATGAATAAAAACCTGTGCCATTTCTTTGGGTCCTTCTGGGAGACCTGTGATGTTCTGGAGGAGGCAACCCAACACATCTGAAATGAAACCAGATGTGGCCATTGTGCCACAGAAACTTTCATTTCTACTTCCTGCTTTCAATAATTTGGTGCTAATACTACTGATTTCAAACTATTTTTAGGCATATGAGCCACATAATAACTGCAAAAAACATGAAAGCCACTACTAAAGGCAGTGACTTTTTATTCAGTCAAATCAGTCCCCCACTTCTGTGTCCAGTAGTAAAAGGTAAATAATAAAAGCAAAACCACCATAAAATGAAAAAGCACTCCAGATTTCACTGCTCATACTGTAAGCTGAGTTGCATAATACAAAATTCATAAAAATTCATATGCATCAATTCAGTTTAGTGGTCTCCTTCTCCTAAAACCAGCAAACATGCAAATAAGCATCATTCAGAGAGCTTTCAAGCATCTTTGAAAAAACTTTACAATAATTTTTCTCTAAAAGTATTGCAAACAACTAATTTATTCAATATTCTAAGTCCAGTATCATGTTGCATTTAAATTTCTATTTTTTCTCAAAAAAAAAACCAAACAAACAAAAAAAAAACAACCAAAAAGAAGAAAAGAAAAGAAAAAAATATACCCTTAAAACAGAGACATTAAATCCCTGAAATAATAAGGAATAAAAAATTATTCTCAAAGTTGAAATGTACAGTTGAACTCTAGTAGCTGCCAGATCCCACACATCCCCTCCAGGGTAGAGCATATAAGAACTCAAGAAAATTTCACAATAAATGTAGACAAATCCCATCTGTACCAAAATTCGTTCCAAGAACGACAGCTTACAAGTAAAAGAACTCTTATTATCACCTTCCATTACATAAGCAAAATAAGGCAGAGAGAATTTCTCAGAAGGAAACAGGAACAAAGAAAAATAAGTCAAGTTCTGGACAGTAAGCCTGAAATTTAAACATCCCTCTGGACAGATTTGTGTAAATATAAGGGTCTGCCTATATATATCTAAATATCCTACTGCATCCTATCATCTTTTATTAAATTATAACAGTGATAGAATGGATTGATGCAAAATAAACCAAAGAAATTCCTTGACAGGCAAAGAAACAGAAAAATTATGCACTGCAGAGCAAAAAATTTTCTCAGGAGTACAGGAAACTCTGTTTATGAACTACCCTTCAAGTTAATGACTATAGAGTTTATCTCATGCCTTCTGGGCAAATGTGTAGTACACATCAAAATTTTTTTTGTCACTTATCTGTTTGTAGAACATAAATCCAGCATGAAATGGCTCTGACACAACAACACAGTTTATCTGTCTGGATTCATTCCCACCATGAGTTGTGAGTCTGTATGCTGTTCTTTTCTTCTGCTTTTTTGTCCCAGAAGGTAAAATTCAAACAAGATGAAAAAGCAACATGAGAACTCATGACTAACACAGCAAAACTGTTGTAGTTCAAAACAAAACAACATCCCTTGTTTCACAGTGCATCCTCTATGGAAGTAAGAGAGAGAATGTTAATTAAAAAAAAAAAAAAAAAAAGGAAAAAAGAAAAAGGTGCTCTAGTTGTGCAGAAATGTGCCCATTCTTTCATTTCTGAATAAAACAGGACTTGATTCACATGTACAAATATTGGGGATACCTAATTTTATAGTTCAAGGAGCCCCTTAGCCATTAACTGGATTTGAACTCTGCAGATATGCCCACTTCTGCCCTGCCAGCAGTATCCTGAGGCTTCAAGCTTTGTAGAATCCAATGTGACACTCCTGAATGAACCAGGACATCAGTCTATTCTTATCTCATCTCAGATATCTAATTATCCAAACAATATTAGGTGCCTAGAGTTGGATTTCTCTACCAAAATACAATATTACACTCTTGGCAACATGCATTTGGACTCAGAAATTCTGTGCTGCAACTAACAGAGCATGGAGAACTAACCAGTAAAATCAAGTTCAGGTAAAAAGGAAAAGAAACTTATTCAACCCCAACTAACAACAAAAAAACCCCAAAATCCCCACTGAAGTTGCAAACCATTTGCAATGCAAAGACATTTTACAGTTAACCCAATCCTCAATGTTACCAAATTTTTATATAAAGTTGCTTAAAAATACAGAGGTAGCATAACATATTGCTTTTCCACTGAGGTCAAATTGCAGTTCCTGTTTAAAAGAACTTCAGAATCTAGTCCAAGAAAAAGTCTTGTGATTATTAAAAGCAGCCTATTCTGACCTAGTATTTCCATTGTTTGAGCTGTACTTGTAAGTTTTGTCTAGTTTTTAGCTCCTCTGTTGAAGGCCTTTTACGGGCAAATGTCCTAACTTGATTATACCAATACTCAAAACCCTGTATTTCTCACAGGATGCCAGGATCTCATTCCAAGAATCTAACTTGTAATCATAAGACTAAAACAAGACACAGAAAGTAACACGTACTTGTACTTCTTGCTTGTATTAATAAACTTCTCGGAAAAGTGTCTCTACAATTAGTCACAAACACTTTTTTTCACTGTTTCTTTGTGTGATTACCTAATATACATCCAAAGTACATTTATGGAGAGTTTTGTTGTCTTCTTACAATAGATGATTCACTAGTTTTGTTTTTCCTCCTATTTAAAGGAAGGTCCCAATGTTCATATATTGAATATAGAATATAGAATACTGAATATAGAATCCACTGTCTGCCCTCAATCCACTACATACAATTGCTGAGCTTTTTTGTTACATTTAAATAAAAAAGCAAATTGCTTTTCAGGAAGGAAATTAATAGACATTTAAAGATTCATGATTTTTAAAGTTCACAGAGGTAAAAATGTGTAATATTTCTTAAGATGTTCAGCCATTTGCGTTTTTAAAATGTTTTTCAAAGATTCACATGGATTTACAAACTAGATTTCTTTTTTTTTTCTTTTTTTTTTATTACTTGCTTCTATACAGGCTACTGGCTCTCAAAAAAGCTGCATAAGCAAGATGGAACTTAGGTGATATTACTTCTGAGATGGAATAGGTATAATTCATGTAGTACTCTTTTGTACTACGACATAGCTATGTGCAGCTATGAGATTTAAAAGTTTGCTGAAGCTTACTAGAAAATCAATAGTAATGGACAGATGCTGAATTTGATTTTAAATCAACCAAAATCAAATCATGTCATGAGACTAGTTCTTGTTCGGAGAATAAAATAAATTGTGGTGAAATGAAAAAATTGGTGGACAAAATAAATGGAATAAAATGTATTTTCTTTTTTTATTTTTAAAGCAATCCCAAAAACTTGCAAAGTTTGACATAGACAAATATTGCACCTTTTGTGCAAAAATTAGCTACCTGACAAGCCACAAAAATAAATATGTAATTAAGAATAAGAGTAATCAGCTCTACCATGAAGAGCCAGCTCTTGGCTTTAAGTAAAGGACTGGGAAATATGCTATATCAGTAGCTCTAACATCTCATGATTGCACCTCTCATCCTACAAAAATTGTTCACTCGCTACAATTAGTACCAGAATCTTCTAGAAAAACTGTCAAACTATTTACATTCCCATCACTTTTGCTTATGATTTCCTGTACAGTTATTAGACCTTTGTTGACAAAAATGAAGTTCAATATATACAGGAAACATGAGACTAGCCCAGCTGGTCAGATCATGCTGCTAATAATGCCAGGGTTCTGGCTTTGATCTCTGCATGGACCATTCACTTCAGAGTTGGCTTTGATGATTCTTGTGGGTCCCTTCCAACTCAGAATATTCTGTGATTAGGTCTGTGATATCTAAGGACACAAACAAAGCTTCTTCCTTACCAAGTGCCTGTAAATCCCAAATTACCCCAGAGTTAAAAATTAATGAAGCAGAGGTCCCTGTTAACAGTGAGAACTAACATCTCCCTTTACAGTTTAAGCTGCATAACAGCAGAATAATAACTTTTTCTCTGGTGCTTGC